CCATAACAAAGATTGAAGAACAACAACTTGGATGGTCCCCCTCCCCAATTCTCCAACTCTGTTCCCCTCCCCCAATTCCTTAATAAAATCTTTATATATATATATATATATATATGGTGGTACCTATAGTAAGATTTAGTTGTTTTTTTTAGTTGAATGATTATAAGTCACACTCAGTTTCATTGCTACCTCTTGTCAATTTTATGGCTTTTAGATACTGTAGCAGTAAAATCTTCAAAAGACTTTTTTTTTAGTATTTAAATTTCACATTTATCAATTATATAGTTACAGTAGTGGACACTGCACTAAATGCTGTCACAGCAGAGATAAAATAAATATGGCCTTCAAGAAGTTTATTGTCTAGTGGATGATAGAGACAACTAACCCAATAGCAATATAGTGGGTAATATGGGCACAGTAACTCATAGCAATGGTTTTGATTCATTATGCCTGAGATTCTATCCTTGGTATTGTGAGACCACAAGAGAAAGATCTGAATCACCCATTTGATAGACAGGAGCCAAGTGGTGGAAAGACAGGCTCCCTTAGCTTAGTCTCAAAGACAAGAATGCTACAGCTGGATGAAGAACTAGGAAAAGAGACTCTAGGCAAAGACAGCCTTCTGTGCAAAGAAACAGATGAACAACACGTTGTATTTCATTTAGAGATTCAGAGATTGGAGATTTTATTTAGTGTGATTGGTTGCTGTGGGGAGTGATGCAGGAGTGGGGGACACAGGGGGGCACCTTGTATAATGTACCTAAAAATTGAATCTGTCCCTGAAAGCTATAAAGAACCCTAAAGGATTTTAAAGAGGAGGAAAGAAGGTATGGCAAAAGATGAGGCTAGAGACATAATGAGGATAGTGATGGTATGAATGGAGAAGGAGAACATAGATGACAGATTAAGGGAAATGATACATTGAATGAGAGGGAGAAATAGTGACCTGGGCTTGGGCAACTAGGGCCCATTGACCACGCTAGGTAATAAGAATTTTTAGGGGGAGATTATGGATTCAGTTCTGGCATGAGTTTGGAGTTTGGAGCCAAGCAGAGAGAACTGTAAGAAGTGATTTATTTAGTTTTCACTACAACCCTATGAGGATGGTAACTTATCTGTTTTACAAATTAGGAAACTGAGACTCAAGATAGTTATGCGGCTTGCCTGGAATGATCCAGAAAGTGGAAGGACTGCTGTGGAAATTCAGATATTTTAGCTCTAAGTGTAGCGTCCTTTCTTTCGTCCCTTAACTGACACATGCTGTTTCTTTTAGATATTGAAGATATTCTTCTCTGTAGAGATTTTTTTTCCCCCTAATAACTTTCTTTCCCTGTTTGGTCTGTGGTGTTCTTTGATGAGTTTTAACCCCATGTGAATCAACGTAAGGAAGTTGTTTGATTATCTAGTATTAAAAAAGAAATTCACTAACAGTTCTATTCATTCTGTTTCCACTGCTTTCTAACTTGAAAGGAATACAGTAAGTATCACTCAAAGTTGCCTGTTTTGAATATATGTCTCTTTTATCCATTGCAAAGTTTGTTTGTTAAATGCGACAGTGTTCTCCATACAAGTACCAAATACAGCATCATTTTGTTCTTTTCTTATGCAGATTGAATGTGTTGAGACAAAGGGTGTTACTTGAGGAGTGTGGCACAGACTAAACAGACAGGACTCCCTTGGTGACCTCACCAAAGCTATGTAACCATAGCCCAGAGTGGGTCCTCCTTGGTCTGGCTCTAGAAGCTTGAAGGTTAAGGTTAACATGCCAAAAAAGAGTCAGTCTCTTGAGAGCCAACTCACTTTTACAAAATTCACAGTTGATTAATGTCAAACCAGAATGGCAGTATACTTATTTGTAACTGTCCTACAGATCAGGTTGAGTCTACCAGCATCCTGTCCTTGTAGGAACCACGTGGGAAGCCAGCCAGAACCACATGATTGCTTCGTCAGCAGAAAGTTAGGTGCATGGCTTAAATGGCTGGTGTTTCCACCTTCCACAAAGTCTGGACCATCTGATCTGTGGATTAGGACATCCTCTCCCCTTTCAGTGTGAACTGAAAACTGCTAGACGTTAGTGAGCTCTCTGACCCCCTTTTTCTACATGTTCACGTGGGTTGTCTGGTTTCTGATAGCACTTCTTTAACTGCATATCCTGATTTCCTGCTTTCATCCTGAGCAGCATTCTCTCTTCCCGTTATTACCAGTATTGATTTTATGAGTCAAATTTTATCTCTATTTACCACTTGCGGTCTGTTTTTTTTTTTTTTTTGAGTAGCATTCCTATAGCCTTGAGGTGTGTTAAGATAAGATAGTAATAGCTAATATAATAATAATCTGTAGATTGTTTGCTGGATGCATTTCATGTAGCTTAGATTGATAAAGAAAAACAAATAACAGACTTTTGAAAATTTGCTATAAATTATAAATGCAGTCAGACTTGAAACACCAAATAATAATTACTAATACACGTTTTAGTCATGAATTCAAAATAGATGGACACAATTATACTCACTAACTTTCAGTTTTTCAGAGATAATTGCAAGTTTATAGATTATTTTTAATTTCCTTCCTTTTATTTCCTGTATTTGGCCATTTCATTGTCTTTTAACAGAGGACAGGAAGATAGTCATAATATTATCAACCCTGGGAAAGATTGAGGAACCATTAATAAAATGATGTTTGGGACTTATCCCTTTTAGTTTGAGTTCTTCTTGTCTCTGACACCATGGGTTATTGAAGTGAATTTTTCTGTGTTTAGTTCCAGAGGCCCCTGATCGGCCTACCATCTCCACTGCATCAGAGACATCTGTCTACGTCACTTGGATCCCTCGGGCCAATGGGGGTTCTCCAATCACTGCCTTCAAGGTCGAATATAAACGGATGAGGACTAGTGATTGGCTTGTGGCAGCAGAAGATATCCCTCCTTCCAAACTCTCTGTGGAAGTTCGTAGTTTAGAGCCAGGTAGTAATATTCAAACTTCCCTTTTTTACTGACTTTAGATGCATATTTTTAATAATCATATAGTCTTCTAATTGTTAAAGTAATGCAAGCTTATTGCATAAAAATTTGAAAACAAAGAAAATGTAAAGAAGAGATTAAGTTTTCTGAAACCCACCCATCCAGAGGTAACTATCGTGTACATTTTGGAATATCTCTTTCTAACCTTTTTTCTCTTTTTAATACAAACTGGGATCATGCCATAAACATTGTTTTGTGACCCCATTTTCCCCATATTATATCATGCATTTTCCAGTATCATTAAAAATTCTTCAAAAACTCAACTTTTAATAACTGTGCATCAACCATATAAGTATACTGTAATTTACTTAACCCACTCTTTATTTCTGTATTTTAGCTTACTTCTAACTGCAAATGAGTAGAAACAGTGTCGTGGTGACACCTTTGTGTGTATGTGTGTGTATATGATTTGCTACGAATGAATATTTTAAGAGGAAAATTGCTTGTTATTTGACTACAGTCGTTTGCCGATGATGCATCTCAGCATAGTTATACTCAGTGCTTAGTCTTACTGAAATGAGACAACACTAACACTTTGTTCTGTAAATGTTGTTCAGCAGAGGAACTCAGCCTCCCTCCATATATGAAAAAATTAAACCATAAAAGAGAAATGCAGCGATCACAAATAACACTTTCTTTTACTTGTTTCAGTTTCATGACCAGTTTTGTTTATAGACTTTAAAGTGTACATTAGCGGCAAATGCCTGTGTTTGTCTAGGAACGTGATCTAGGTGTAGTTGGGAGAAGGTGGCAGTTTTAAATGTGGGTGAAGCTAAGTCACATTTTACAGACGGAAAACATTGTCTTTAGAAGCCCAATGGTTATTTTTGACCGATTAGGAAACTTGCTTTAGGGGTCTGGTTTATTCTTCAGATTCAGATTTTCAGAAACTCACAACCCTTAGTGGTTTTTTGGGGTTTTTTTTTAAGTTCTTAAATCTAATACAAATAAATACTTTCTGCCCCCTCTTATCCTGTTCCTGGTGGAATCACAGTGACATCAGCTACACGGCACCTCTTCATAAATGTATTCACCGTATTAAACCACTTCAGTTGTTTCTTTCAAAAGGAAAAGAGCCTGGTTTTGAGCACAGAGACTTCAATTAATACTATGTTTGATGGGTGTGACTTTAGAACAGGATGGTAAAAAGAGCGGACGTGCTTTTTCCTTTTCTGTGATAGATGTCATTAATCCTCATGGTATTTAGATCTTGGAATCTTGAGTACCATGCATTGAGCAGCTACTACTAGTTGATAGAAATTGGCAAGTGGGTTGAAGTCTATTTACCATATAGGTTTTAGAGTATGTATTGCTATGGCACAATTGTCATATTTTGAATATCGTACATTCAGTTGTCTTATGACAGCTTTTTAAAAACTCTGTTTTTTTTCTCTCCTCAAAAGGTTCAACATACAAATTTAGGGTCATTGCTATCAACCATTATGGTGAGAGTTTTCGGAGTTCAGCATCTCGTCCTTATCAGGTGGCTGGGTTCCCCAATCGTTTTTCTAACCGTCCAATAACTGGACCTCACATTGCGTACACAGAAGCTGTCAGCGATACTCAGATCATGCTAAAGTGGACGGTAAGTAAGATGTCTTCACTAATGAGAAGATTTTCTGGTTTGGCCATGTTAATAATCAATTTAATGTTCTGTGACATGATACAATGAACAGCAAATTTTTGAACTTTTAAGAGAGGGGAAACTGAAGGACAAATAGATATTTGTCTAAAAGAACATATTATAAATGGGGCAGGGTTAAAAATAAAATTATTATCACCTCAGCACTCATCCAGGTGTTCACTTAATTGCCATTTCATGATTTATTCATTTGGTACCAAATGTACTTTTATGCCTTTGAACCCTGTGAATCAAATATATTGCTTTATTTTTGTTTAGCCCTGCAGTAAGCTAAATGTTCTTAAATACCGTTGAATACCTTTGAATTAAATTAAAAATGGCCATCAAGGATGTTTACAAAATGAACCTAGAGTAGTATTACCACACAGATAATCTTAATGCATTTGAAGGTGAAATTTATTTTTGTCTTTGACAAGTCTTTGCTTCTATTTTTTAGTACATTCCATCAAGTAACAATAACACTCCCATTCAAGGATTTTATATTTATTACCGGCCAACAGATAGTGACAATGACAGTGATTACAAGAGGGATATTGTAGAAGGTAAGTCCCATTGGCAAGCCGGGGTCCCAATAAAGGAATTTTGGAGGGAGAGGGTTTATAAATATTATGAAAAACATCATCCCAGGTTAGGATAGAGTGAAAAATGAAGTGGTATATTTACTATTATTTTGAATTTTTCCCAAATAAAGATAAGGTTTTCAATTTAATATATATAGTAGCTTACATTTGGTTATAAAGACAGTCAGTTAACAAAAGTATGGGGAGATAGGATTTGTCAGTAGTTTATTTGAAAAAAATTTTTGTTTTCTGTTTTGTTTTAAATGAATAGTGACTCAGGTATAAAAATTAACTTCAACTTATAGCTATATTTTTAAAAGTAACGACTCGATCAACAGTCCCATTGAAGTGTGGACTAGAATGATCATATCTTGAGCATGGTATCCTCTTTTAGAGATGCTGAGAAATTGGAATATATGTAGAGAAAAAAACAGCTAAGATGGTGAAGGGTTAGCAACTGACTTTCTACTGCATTTAAAGTATAATTCAGAACTTTGCATGTGGTCTGAAGATGCCCATGATCTGGCTGGCCCCCACCTACACCTTCCACCATGTCTGATGCACCTCTTCCTTTCTCATTGTGTCTTCTGTCATACACTGACTGGCCTTCTTTCAGTTTCCATGTGTACTCCAAAATCTGTCTTGCCTTGGCACATGACAATACCTACTACCTTTCAAGCTCCTCTCCCAAGACTTTATATAGGTACTCCACTTTTCTCTGTTGTGTGCTTAAATGTTTTTTCTTCAGATAACCTCCTCTTACTTACATGAGATACCCTTGTTATAATTTCTAATTGTGACCTTCGTGTTTATTTCATAGACATTTTTCATAGTTTAAAATGTGTGTGTGTGAGTGAAATTATTTGTTTAAAATTTGTCCTCCCATGAAATGTTAGCCTCCTGTGGGCAAAGGGGCCTTTTTTCCCACTGCCGTATCCCCAGTCCATACAGTGGTGAAGTGCTCAGTATTCATTGAATGAATGAATGAATGAATGAATGAATGAAGTCCAAAAAGAACAATGGAATGCCTGGGGATGATCAGGCTGGAAAAAAGACAACTAACAAGCAGCGTGACAGCTGTCTTTGGATATTTAAGGACTGTTACGTGGAAGAGGAACTCAGCTGGAGGATGGGCAATTAAAAGGAAATAGTGTGAAGAACTCTCTAAGGTAGCATTTCTAAGAGGTTCTCTCACAAAATAATAAACTCCCTAGTTTTGGAGGTGCTATTGGTAATATCTCAGAAGGGATTTTTCCTTTGGGAGGCAGGCTTCTTCCAAGGTCTTTTTTTCACTCCAACTTCTGATTCTTTGAAATATTAATATGCTAATATTAATATGCTAACAGAAAATTGCCCTAGGCCAAGGTTATTTTCTTATGACTTCTTGACATCAAATACTGCACATATTGTAGTTTTTGTTGTAAGTAGTCCCACAATAAAGTACTTAAAATATACTATACGTATCACATTTCTTTAAATATTGTAGCTTTCCTTTTAATGTTTATCCAATGGAATTACTTTTGTAATATAATGAGAAATTTATCATCTGAGTTTTAATACCTGGCACATATTAAGTGTTTAGTACATATTTGTTGAATGAAAGAATGATTGTTTCTCTTTTCTTAATCTGGAAAAGCAGAAAATAAATTAGTCCCTAAAATCCTCTTTAAACATAAGGAATTGTGGAAAATGTGGAAAAATAATTAATGGCAAAACAATTCTGTGGGGCCGGCCGAGTGGCACGTTGGTTAAGAGCTGGCTTGGGACACCAGAGGGCCCCGGTTCGGATCCCACATATGAGGGCCAGTGACACTGCCCTCTACAGCTAAGATGCTGAACAACAGCTCAACCTGGAGCTGGGCTGCCATGAGTCGTCAACAACGGTGTAGGCTGCAGCCCCTGTGGCAGTGGGTTGCCATGGGCTACCGTATGTAGCCAGCAGCCGCAGTGAGCAGCTGTCCAGAAGCCGGCGACTGATCTGCCTCGCCCGGGAAGAGCGCAATGATGGAGCCAACTTGGGCCAGTGAAACAACGTCCTCCACAACTAGACTGAAGAACAAAAGGACAGCAACTTGTCTGTTCCCCTTCCCCCAATTCCCGAATAACAATCTTTAAAAAAAAAACCAATTCTGTGAAGTCAAGATATTAGCTGTCTTGAGGGAGAAGTGACTGGAAGAAGCATGAAGGGGACGTTTGGGTGCCAGTAATCTTCTCTTTCTTGACCTGTTGGTATCATGTTCAGTTTGTGAACATTCAGTGAGCTGTACAGTTATGGGTACTTTTTCGTGTGCATATTTTACTTCATAAAAAGGCTATTTTTAAAAAGAAATGGAAAGAATTGTTGTGACTGTTAGACATTTTAGTTCTACCTAGATGTTCAGTTTAGTTTAGCTGCGTTGGGAGAGTGGGACTGTCAGATTTTTATTTTTAAAATCTTTTAACAGAGGTTAAACATTTGTTATAAAATAGTTTTAAACAAGTCAAATATAAATAAAAAGAGCATCCCACTCTGTCTCTGTTCCTCTTCTTCTCTCTTTCTCTTCCCCCATCTTACTCACTCACTCTCCCCTACCCTTCCTAAGTTCTCCTCTCTAGAAATATTCACTGGTAAACAGTTTTTAACTATATTCTCTAGTTAAATTTTTGAACTTTTATGAGCTTGTGTGATGTGAATATTGAGTGTGGAACTGGGAAATTACTTTAAAGGAGCTTTTGTATCCAGCAGTAGGGTCTGTGAATGTGAGTTTTGCCTGATGGTTCACAGAGAACTTGTTTATAAACGTAATAGATGGAGCAGTTAGACATTTAAGTGGGCTTCACTGTGCTGTGTAATTTGCTTACTCCTTATTTTCAAGTTTATGCATTTAAAATTCTTTTTGTGGCAGTTGGAAGCTGTTGGCCTGTTCTCCCAAACCAATGAACAAAAGTATTTATCTTTTGTATGTAAAGCTGTCTTTAAAGTTAAGTTTTAGGTTACTTACGTATATTGACTCAAAATTGTTTAAGCTTTTGAGAAAAAAATTGAAACTTGATTACATTGTTAAAGGATACAATAAGAGAAGGACAATTATATTAGGTTATCCTATTTCTGAATTAAGTTCCACATTTAGATAAACTGTAAGCGTTTCTAGCATAGCAGTGCTCTTGTGCTGAATATGTTTGTCTTGTAAAGTTAAGTTGAATTCCAAATAAATCAGAGTAATTAGTCATCTGATCTTTTAAGTCTGTGCTTTGGTTTCTCACCTTTTCTAAAATATCCTTTGAGAAAAAAATTGTTAAGTAAAGGATACATTTGGTTGATTTTAAACCTAATAATGCACTTAGTTGTCTTATTCATCAATGGTCAGTAAAAACTCTTTCTCTCTGCTAATTTTTACTGTAATTTTAACCATTGGAATAATTACCATAGCAATGGAATACTAATCTAACAAGATATGTATTATTTTAACTATTTTCTCTTGTTAGTAACATATTAGAAGTTTAACTTAATTACATTTTTTGAAAGGAGAACTTCAAATCTAATACAGTAATTATTCAAGAGAATGTTTATAGTTAGGTGAGTGTAGGGCTGGGCCAGAAAAGACCTAAGGATAGAGAAAAAAATTAGTTTTTAAGAAAGATTTTAGAATTCAGAAATAGGTTTATTCTAATCTTAATCAGGTTTTGAGTCAAGTTTCTTGTGAGGTTCTCTTTGCATTTATAAATGGGGCATAGATTTCCTCACTTATTGAGCCTTTCAGAGACCCTTGGTCCTAAAATAAGCAGGTTCTCTATCTTATAAAATCCCTATCTTATAAAATATGGGTCTTTATGAATGAGGCGTTTTGTATTGGTGACCTGGAAAATGGGCTATGCTTCCGAACAGAAATATTTTTGTCTGTGTTGAATTGGAAAGGAACCTGGTGCTATCAGGTCCCGTCAGCCAAATAGGTCTGACTTGTATGTGTGGTTTTATTTCTTTTCTCCTTTAATTCTTTTTTTTTTTAATTTTTTTTTGGTAAGATTTTATTGGAAAATTGGGGGAGGGGAACAGTGTTGGAGAATCAGGGAAGGGGAACAGACAAGTTGCTGTCCTTTTGTTCTTCAGTCTAGTTGTGGAGGACGTCACTTCACTGTCCCATGTTGGTATTAACATTGCGCTCTTCCCAGGTGAGGCAGATGGGTCGCCGGCCACTGGACAGCCGCTCACAGCAGCTCACGCCAGCTGCCAGCTGCTCATGCCAGCTGCCAGCCACTCACAGTAGCTTATGGCAGCCCACTGCAGCAAGCGCTGCAGCCTATGCCGTTGCCAGCAACTCACAGCAGTCCAGTCCCAGGTCAAGCTGTTGTTCACCATCTTATTTGTAGAGGGCACAGCGTCACTGGCCCTCATATGGGATCTGAACTGGGGCCCTGATGCTCAGAGCTGGCGTCCCAAGCCAACTCTTAACCAATGAGCCACTTGGCCGGCCCTTAATTAATTCTTAAATCAGTTGGTGGTATAGTTGAGTTTCTAAGAAACAGTGGAAACAGTTTGAAGAGGTATTTTCTAAGAGGGATTAAAGGTGCTTGAAGAGTTAATTAAATCTGGCAGAAGTGTCCTGTTTATTAAAGTTTGTCGCAAGTCCATGGAAGTAAAAATGGAGAGTGATTTATGCTCGAGTGTTCAGTTTAGGAGTGTTTCTAAATGAAATGTTGGCTGTGTGCCATGGATAACAGAATAATTCTATTAGAGATACTTGTGTGGTTTGGAGACCCTGACCCAAAAGAAAAGAAATAGTGGGAGCAGTAGCCAAGAGTTTTCCATAGCGGATTTGCTTTTTGATTATTTTTGACCATTTATTCAGGCATTTATTTATATGTCAGTTTATGTCACATTCATTACAACAACTGAGAGTTTCGCTAAGGCCTGTCTTATAAATGGTCACTTGTTCTGGGAAAGGCACCATTTGCTGATCTCACATACAGTATTGCTTCCTGGTGGGTGGACAGAGTGGATTGACTTGCTGGACTGAAATAGAAGATCAAAAGACTTGAGGGGTTTTTTTGTTATTTTTTTTTAACATATGGATAGAATTAACATGTATTTTGCCTAAGACTCGCCACTAATTATTTGTAATGAAACAAAGTATTACTACCAACACACAGGAATAGCTTTAATTCAGTTTATCTCTTTATCATTTTTTTATGCCATGTAATAGAAATGCTGTTTATCTGGGGTGCATTACTAACATACTTATATTAAGTACGTTTTTATTGTGCAAACTGTATGGTAACAGGTGTTCCAACCTCATTTTGGAATTATTAAGTAATTATTTTGACAGTATCATTTAGGTTGTACAGTATGTGAACTTTATCTTTTATTTTCCTTTCTAGGTTCAAAGCAGTGGCACATGATTGGGCATCTGCAGCCAGAAACCTCCTATGACATTAAAATGCAGTGCTTCAACGAAGGAGGAGAAAGCGAGTTTAGTAATGTGATGATCTGTGAAACGAAAGGTAGGAGAGGGGTGAGAATTGGTGCTTTTTCCCTGGACAGTGCTGGAATTCTAAACTCTTTATCGTTCCTCCTGATTGTTAGTGTTTTTACCTATAAATGGTCAGTATCCTGCTTTGGACTGTTTCCTAGGTGCATACATTTAGAGTGTCCTAACAGAAAGTATAATATGTTCTCTAGAGCACTTGTCTAAAAACTAATTTACATAAGCATCAGTCATATGTATTCATTTCTGTGTCACTCTGAATAAGTCACTTCCCTTCTCTTTTTCTCCATCAAAAGAATAGAAATATTTGCTGATTAATTTCTGAGAATGTCATGAGAATTAGAATACTAAACAAGTATAAGAATTTTAAGGATGAGTGCAGCTTGTTTAAGGTGTTTCTTTAATGACACATATGTGTAACACTACGTGTTTAATTAAGTATAGTAAAGTTCGGAACGAGCAGTTGCTAATTCTAAATTGAAGTTCTCAATTCTGCCTACATATATAGATTAACTGAAATATTACCATCTTTAAAAACAGAAGATACCATAAATGAATAATGGAAACAGCTAATGTAGATATTTACAAAGCAAAGCACTCAAGTCCAGTCTCAGTTAATCTGACAGAGACTTTTTTCCTTGTGTCTATTTTTAAGAACCAGGGACAAATTCCTAGAGCCCTAGATTTTCTCCCCTCCCCTTGTTTCATTGGCCAGAACTCAGTCACATGCCCTCTAGTCACTCCCTGGGATCAGGTGATGGACCAGGGTCTACTCCAGCGTCCTGCGGGGTTCAGTGGATATCTAGATAAAACTGGGGTTCTTCTAGCATGGGAGAAGCAGGCTGTTGAATGGGCCTCTGCTACAGGTGATTTTATTATCCCGATTTAAAATGAGGAAACTGAGGCTCAGGAAGATTGAATTATAAAGCCAAGACTTAGTCCCATCTTTTAATTCTACATCATGTGTCATTCTTTTGCAAAATCCACATATTAAATCAACATATAAAATCAACATATACACATACACATACACGATCATACAATTAAGTTCACGAACTCATCCTAGAAAAAATGCTACACTCCTCATTGCTGAATATCACTATAGTCACCTTCCAAGTACTACCCTTGGGAAGCTATGCACCGATGCCAGTGCCTAGTCCATGCTTCAAAGCAGTTTTGGAACTCTTTTTCTGGAATGGCCATCAGAGCTGTTGTCGTACTACCCTTGATGTACTAAATGCCATCAAAATATCTTCTTTTCAACATTTCCTTTCTCTTCGGGTAAAGAAAGAAGTCATTGGGGGCCAGATCAGGTGAGTAGGGAGGATGTTCCAATACAGTTATTTGTTTCCTGGCTGAAAGCTCCCCTTACAGCTGGTGCTGTGTGAGCTGGTGCATTGTTGTGATGCAAGAGCCATGAATTGTTGGCAAAAATTTCAGGTCTTCTAACTTTTCCATGTAACCTTTTCAACACTTCCAAAATAGTAAACTTGGTTAACTGTTTGTCCATTTGGTACAGATTCATAATGAATAACCCCTTTGATATCAAAAAAGGTTAGTAACATCATGGCAACAAGTTTGTGAACTTAATTGTCAGACCTCATGCATAGACCTTTAGACTATGAATTGAATAACCAAATTGAATATTTGGTTAACACATATTTAAGTGCATTTTATATCAGACACTGATGTGTTAATGGGCATTTGTTACTTGCCTCTAGAGTGCTGTGATACAGAGCAAAATTAAATAAAAATGAAATTTGCTATCTCTGTCCCCAAAACATTTAAGAATCTAGCCAGGCAAAGCCTAAAACAGACAGCAATGTTGTAACTGTTTAAGTAATATTATGGTATAGCTATGTCTGTAATAGTATTTCCTCATTCATTGACTTTGCTGGGGAATAAAAGGTCCTACCTACAGACTTGCAGATCAGTGCAAAATGAAAAAACTTCTTTACAATGTAAACTGTTCATGTTGAATGACTTTCTAAAATGTATTATATGATTCTTAGCCTGTTTACGTACAATGTATTAAATACAATTTCTTGAAATGACTCAAGGTTCTTGTGAACAGTGACTGTCTTATCTTTAGTAATTCATGAAGGTTTTCAGGAATGACCGACGTGCTGAGGCCCGCCATTCCCACTGCCCTCAAAAATCACAGACTGTCAAGAATTTTCCTTAGTTCTTTGTTTTCTCTTAATGCTTTTCACATCACCTTTTTTGTTTCACGCTCTGAGCTGTCTCTTCGTATTGATGCTAATGGGTCTGTGTCACTCACCCTTCACCTCAAGGGTTTTTAACTTTAGTAAGAGGTTGGCAACCAGATCATCAAGCTTGGTAAAATGATGAATAAATTAAGAGTAAATAAAGAGTGAATAAACCTGAAGGACTTCCCTGTGAGTAATCATGATCTTTCATGTACGATGTGTAACATCCATTTTGCCTCAGAAACTTGTTTGTTTTCTTTAGAATTGGCAGGGAACTGAGAATTGTTTAATGCAACATACCACCCGAAGTAGAAATTTCCTTTAGAGCCTCTGCCAAGTATTCACCCAGCTTTCAGTGATGAAGAGCCCTTTCCTTTGAAAGGTGGCCTCTCCTTTATAGATTCCCAGCTCTGTTCTGAGTAAAGTTGCTAGAAAATTGAAACCCAATATAATGTTTGTTGAACTAGATTTTATTTAAAGCCCACTCTGCTCCTATGGGTTACCAGGTGCTATAATATAGTATAGTATATAGTATAATATAGTATAATTATATAGTATAATAAGTGAAATATAGTATAATAAGTAATAATCATAACAAAATTGATTGAACACTGCCAGGTGCCAGGCTGTGTTCCAACTGCTCTATGTGGATTCACTTGTTTACCCTTCATTACAACCTTGTGATGGAGCTGTCATTATCCCCGTTTTCCACACGCAGAAACTGGTTCATGGAGGTTAAAGCCATACAGCTGAGGATAAGTGGCGGAATAGGATACACACCGGGGCAGCCAGCTTCCAGAGACTGGACTGTCAACCGTTAATGCCCCAGTGCTTTTCTATGACATTTAAAGCAGGACGAGCATGTGGTTTGGGGACAGAAAAAAATGGGGTTTGAGTCCCACCTGTTACTAGTTTTTGTTATCATTATTATACCAATGAACTAGGGAAAAGTACTGCATTTATGTGAACTCCAGAAGTCTTTGGGGTTTGGAATGCTTAATATTTATGTGTGAGGTTTTTGGAATTGTATATAATTGTTCTAATAGTACAAAGTGATATCTTCTAATATTAAGCATATGGTAGAGGCATAAAATATATAATTCTGAGTCTTATTCAGCTTAAAGTATATCAGATAGAAAGGAGTTTTTGTCCCATCCGTAAGTTGAAATACTTTTATTTCAACTTTGAAATACTTGTATTTTAACTCATTGGGATTCTCCTATAAGCAAATTGAGCCGATAATCGTATAGCAGTTTGGGTTAGAACAAGTGCATGTGCTTCTCTGATCTTATGTTTTCTCTAAGAACTTGTGAACTAAAACTTTGGCACATCAGATTTTGAAACTTTTTGAGCCCTCTTTGTGACTCATTGGTGGTCAGATCATCTCAGTAACAAGTGTAAACAGACTGGCTTGCCTTCCTAACCAGACCTCCTTCAGAGAGTAAACGGTTTCATCGAGTCTGTACTCACTCTGACATCATGTTTTCCTTTATATTTCAACTAGTGAAACGTGTTCCTGGAGCTTCTGAGTATCCTGTCAAAGACTTGAGTACGCCTCCAAATGCCTCAGGGGGCGGAGGAAACATTGGGCCTGCAACCAGCCCTGCCAGGAGCAGCGACATGTTGTACCTGATCGTTGGCTGCGTGCTGGGTGTGATGGTCCTCATTCTCATGGTTTTCATTGCCATGTGCCTGTGGAAGAACCGCCAGCAGAATACCATTCAGAGTAAGTCACTCCGACCTACTTGCTTCGCTTTTTCCAGAAAGATGGGTAGAAAAATATTGTCAGGATAAATACTAATTTCTGACGCTGCTGTGTATTAGTGTCATGGTATAAAACACATTCGCTACTATTTATTCAGGGGAGATGACTTTAAAACTGTTTCAGCTGTCAACCACAGTAAGTGGAGCATCAGATTAAATTGCCCAGGAGAAACAAACAGGAAAGCCAAAGCTAAGCTGGTCTCTAAGTAAACAGCTGACTTGGTGCTGGGAAACCCTGCTTTGTCGGACCACCAAAGAGGATGAATGCTTGAAGCATGAGCCTTGCAGCTGCTCCAGGAACACCTTCATACTGTACAAATCTTGTCAGCAGAGAATAGAAAAGGCGTGATGGAAAGGAAGGTAGTGAAGACTTATTCTAAGTTACTGTCCCTGAATGACACAAATTAACATAACATGGTCCTCCTGTCTCGGGACCTGAGGTACCAAAACTGCTTGAGTGCCATCCCCTCCCCCTAAATGTAGCTAGGAGTAGGAGCACTTGAACAGTCACTGATGGCACTGCATTAAAACGTGATTTAGAACCCTTTTCCCTCTTCTTTCCCCAGTTCTCTTCCCCTCACGTTCCCACCTATCCTATTCCTCCAGCTGTTATAAAATAGGATCATCAACTCAAGCAGAGACTTTCATCTTTAGTGGGAGGAAGTTTTTTGGTTTTCATTTTGGCCCCAAAATAGGAGAATGGAAGAAAAGCAAAAGAAAACAGCAGCAGTGACAGGCACTTCCAGCTTCTGTCAGCCAGTTCCCATGGAAGGTCCCTTTGTAGTTCATAATTCAGAGGGGGAAAACGTGATTTATTTTTGACTTGGTGCGTTCCAGGAGATAGGCAGGGAGAGAGGTGGTGGTGGTGGTGGTGCCAGGCTGTATGGGTTAGAGATCATTTAAATGGGTTTTTTCCTAAGTGGTTTTAATATCATTGACTTTAATTGTGTGTGTGCTGAATTATTAAAAGTATTAATCTGGTTGCCAGAGCAGATGAATCTGGTGAAAGTCATTGTTTTTGGTGACTTGATAATATGTTTAACGATGGAAATTTATAATAGCAGTGTTCATTCAGTCATTCATTCAAAGGGTACTCATTGACTGGCTTCTGTGTGCCTGGTACTGTTGTAGATGATGGAGATAGAAAGTAAATAAAGGAAACGTGGCCTCTGCCTTCACAGTTCATAGTTTCGTGGAGAAGATAAGCAGGTACACTGACAACACACCTGTGCAAGAAGTTCAGCAATAGGACACCTAACCCAGTCTTGGTGTGCTCTAATACATTTGAAGAATTTATCAAAACTGACAACAAATCATCTACAGTTTAGATACTGTGTTTGCTAAGGGATAGTTCATATTTTCTAAATATATCTGGTAGGTGTGCCTCTGGAAATCAGAATTTTGAGGCAGCTGTTTAAGTGCTTTCACTATTAGGAAATGGAATAATTAGCCTTTTGCCTTTAGTACCCAACAACTTTGAAATTGGCGCTAATAATCGAGGAACTATATGAATAGTCAGGGGATGTAGACATCACTCCTTCCTTTTCCTGAGAAGTGTTATTTGTTGCTATTTGAATTATCCTACCTATAGTTAGCCTTTTGTTGTTGCTTTATAACAATTGCTGTCAGCACTTTGACGTATATACGGGAGTTTAAACAGTGTTGCCAGTACGTTGATAGTTTCAGCTTCCACAATTTATTAATTCTCTTTCAGCAATTGGTCTCTGGTTAATTTGTCTTCCCATTAACAGTCATAATTAACTCAAAGTTCCTAGCTAACCTCCACAAGGTAAAAGAAATCACAGCAATTACTTTATTAAAGCATATCTCACAAGTAGGCTTTAACTGAACACTTTTAGAGTGTTTTATTTTTAATGTATTTATAATTTCTTAGGGCCTTTGTTAATCAAACTCCTAAGCAAGAAGATTGTCCTATTCAGCATCTTTTTCTTTCTTTTTTGTTCTCTCTTAACAGAATATGACCCTCCAGGATACCTCTACCAAGGTTCAGATATTAATGGGCAAATGGTGGAATACACCACTCTGCCTGGAACAAACCGGATAAATGGGAATGTTCATGGAAGCTTCATAAGCAATGGAAGTCTCAGCAATGGCTGCTCCCATCTTCACCATAAGGTCCCTAATGGAGTCAGTGGAATCATGAATGGGAGCTTAAATGGAGGGCTTTACTCTGGGCACACAAGCTCTCTAACCAGGACACATGTGGAGTTTGAACATCCTCGTCATCTAGTGAATGTAAGAAACCCAGTTATAAATGAAAGTGTCCCTGTGCCCCACGGTGCCAAGGGACAAGAGCAGCGTGGGCCTATGTGGCTGTTTTCAATATGGAAACCTCACTGGTTCACTGGGATGGAATTAGTGTGTATTCCTGGCAACCCCTTGATCCAGGGGTTTGTAAGCTTTCGATTATCCAGTAATAGTTACAGTCATCAGTTTGGTTTATATTTTAAATTGATTTAGCACTGAAAGTAGAACACTAGTAACAAACAGGCGGGAAACTATTTTGGAGATGAAATGGAAACACCATTGGGTGGAGACTGGACCAAACACTTTACATTGGATTTATTTAGAGCAAAGTCTGAAAACTCAGATGCCTAGAAGAGTCAGGCAGATCGTGACACCGAGAGAAGCGAGTTAGGAATGAGAGCACTGGTGGTGGCTGTACCAAACCAGAGAGTACGTGTGCTGTCTGGAAGCAGCAGCAGCAATTCAGCTCCTGAGGTTGGTGTGCAGGACCTAGGGCCCCATGTGGCCAGGTTTTCTGCTTTTTCAAAGCATCTGTAAACATAGGTAACAATGCCAGATTTTTGGTATGTTGGAAATCATTCCAGTTTTTGAGAGAATCGCATAGACCGTGCAGAACATGTCTGTAGGCTGCCAGACTGACTCCTGACCCATTGTGAGTTTCTTTTGTTCGTGTTGCCCAATGTGTGTTGTTGTTGTCACCTGTAAGATTTCTGCATTTTGTAATATTAATGTTCTTCAGCCACAAGGAATGACAAACCTTTAAACTGCTGTAGTTCAGAGATAACTCGCTGATACAGTTTAATTTTTGAAACAGGAACAGGATGACTAGCATATTTTAGATTTGTACTGGTTAAAGAGGTTCTCTGCAGCAGGACGTTTGATTGATTACATTGTATGGATATACAGCCACATTAGTTTTCAACCAAATAGGTAATTTGTTTACTTGGCCAAATTTGAGTTTTTTGTCATTGTTCTTATTACAGATAAATTTGCCATAGCCCACAGTGTGCTAAAATTTGAAGAAGTTTAGTTTTTTTATCTTCAACTTTAATAAAGATTTATTAAATATTACATCTGGAGAACAAAAGTATAATATGTATTTGTATCTTAAAGCCTGAGATCTAATGGCTTTCGTGTGACCTAGCTTTAGTATGTTGTAGAAAAAAAATATTTAGTTTGCTTTACTGCATCTCATTACCAAAAGAGAATAATGATTTCATTATTTTGTGTGGAAAGACATGGCTTATATTCAGACTTTCTAAACTTTTTTTGTCACCATTCCTAGTCCAAACTACTAACATTGTCCAAGAAACTGAAGCAGAGAGCATTAAAGTTTGAATAGCTCATGCTGTTTCCATAAGAAGAAAAAATAAGTCTGATGTTTGTTTTAGTATTTGAACACAGTACTTTGTTTTTTTGTGTGTGTGCACAATGAATTGCTATTTAATTAATAGTCGAGCCTCTAGGTGTACAATTTTAGAGGTTATCACCTGTGATTTTAACTCATTAGTTTTCTTATCTCTTCTGGGTGGGAGGAAATAGGGAAATTTAAAAAATGATGGTCATCATAAAATCATTAATTAACTTTAATATATGGTTAGTGACTCAAATTAAGTACATTACCCTGTAGGTTGTTAACTTCATTTTCTGAAGCTTTGAAGTTTACCCTCATGGGCTGAATATAGCCTCAGAATATTCTTTCTCTCAATGTTTCCTTTAAAATTCCTGTTGCTAGTTGGATCAAGAATGTTGAGAGAAATTTTCAGTACGTTTGGTTTGCTTAGATTCTGGCTGTTGGTGTGAGATGAATGGAAATGGAAAGTATTACATTCTGGGAAAAACAATGGCCTGAACTCTTCATAACCTTGAAGGCCTGCTCCGGGTTTGGGTGCAGTGTGACAACCTCTCCCACCCTTATCAAATTCAGTTCTGCCGTTATTTATCTGAAAGCAGAATTTTGACTCTGACCATAAGGCTGGTTCAATTCGTAACCTCAGTTTTAAAGAACTCTTGCCATTATATATGTCAAGTGAACATTTTACCCTGAGGTATGTGTTAATCTGGGCATTTTTCTTAATTGCCGGGCAGTTTCCGCCAAAAGCAACATCAAAATATTAATACTCCCCTCCAACTCATTGCTGGCTGAGAATCTACTCCATCTGGAAAAATATCACATGTTTTAAAACTTAGTGTAGTCAAGCGAACAGACCTAATCGAAATAATTACAGGAAAGTGAAGATGGGTTTATCTTATGACATCATTCAGACAGATTTCCACCCTGTTTCTCCAACTGGCATCACGTAAAATTCTTCCATGACTGCTAGAAAAGTAAAAATGAATAGGAGGTTATAATGTATAGTGTATAGTGTATTTTGGGCCTGTTAGATTTCAAACACTGAAGGGAAGTGACTAAAGTTCTCCATTTATTTGCCTCTTTCCAGTACAAAAACACATGGAAAAACATGGCAGTTAAGTTTTCGGAGGACAGTTTTTAATATTGTGCAGGATTCACTTGTGAATATAGGTAAATAATTATAAGCATGCCATTGCTTAGGGAGTTGGTTAAAATATCTCCTGTATCCATTTATTATTACCATGGCTTTATGTTTGAGAGCATGTGGTTGCTGCTGTACAGCACCCTCAGCACTTTCTTTTCTTCCCTATACTTCCTTCCTGACTAGGGTGGTGGAATGTACACAGCAGTACCTCAGGCTGACCCAATGGAATGCGTTACCTGTCGAAATTGTCGAAACAACAATAGGTATGTTGATGTGGATTTGCACAGGTTGTTGTTAATAACATGGATGCCTCCTTTTATGTTTTTCCCTTCAGTACAGGAAGTTCTTCAGATTTTACCTAAGACATAAGTCTCAGCATATGGAGCTTTACGTTTAAGGCAGTTACCAATTTTTTGCCCCTGCTTTACCATTTTTATGTTTCTGTGCTTTGGTTTCTTTAGCACTACTGACAGTATTAAAGACTTTGTTTCTGACATATTAATAAAAGGTTTGATGTTTTTGGAATCTTTAAATTAGAGTCATTCTCTGTATATAGACTTTATCTTTTCTCGCCTGTTATTTTCTACTCTATGTTATAGAGTGTTTTCTACTCCATGTTTGAATGTTAGAGGAAAAACCTGTGTATATAGTAATGCTTTTTCATAATTATATTACTGAACTTTGCTTACCAGATGATTCAGTGTTATTTTGAAAACTCTTAAAACCTTAGAAGATAATTAGGTAGCAAAATCTTGCTTTCTTTTAATTTTCTGTTTTTTAAAAAATTAAAAGTGATATGTATAACAGAATATTTCAAACAAGATAGAAATAGGTGGAGTAACATGTGCTTGTAAATTTTGATAGAATATTCAGAAAGTTTTTATGTTACCTCTTAAATAAGCAAAGGCTTATCAAATTTTTTTGTTGCATTAAAGTTGTGTCTGTTAAACACAACTTCTTTTACATAATGATAGTATTGGCTTACATGGTTCTTTCTTTTGCATAATGATAGTATCGGTTTACATGGTCTCAAAAGTACTTCCAAGTTCTAGAACTCTACAATTTAAAAATTATCTCATAGGTAGTACATAGAATAATGAGTATGGACTGGAGTTTGGATATTTTGTTACTGAGATGGGATTTGACCCATGTATTTTAAATGAATTGTAAGGTTAAATGTTGTGCCTGGGAGTTACCAACACAGGAAGTTGAAGAAGTATCTAATCACAGAATTTAGAAGTACATTGTTTTAAGAGTTGCAGAACAAAAGCAATAAAGCTTCCTGGAGATTTTTCTTTATTATTTACTTAACTCATCTTACGGTTTCTATATTAACAAGAACCATTTTTCTATTTTATATACTAAGATTTGCTTGTTACATTTTTAAATTCTGTATGCCACTAGCTGAACGTTTAGATATCCGTAACGTTGAAGTCACATTTTTGTCCTGAGCTTGCCATAGGCTTTATCACAATTCGTTAGGAACATACAAAAGAACTGGTAAAGATGTTTCATGTACCTGGTAAGTACTCAGATGGATTTAATGAAAACAAATGGTATTGCCTAAATACATAACATGCTTTCCTTTGTGATTCTTGTGGCCATCAGCCAACCTTGATTCAACGTAGACGTTAGAGGACCTCTGGCCTAAGAATAAGCAGACGTAGGCTTTGCCACTGCTTAAATCTGTGGCCTTGGGGAAGTTACACAATCTACCTGAGGCTAAATCCTTCTCTGAAAAAATAGAAAATTTTCCTAGGTAATGTAAAATCACCCACAACATACTCTGATTGTGTATTTTGGTAATTTGCTGTTAATCATGTCTTTATGATGAGGTATCATCCTGGTACTCACAATACATCTCATTTCCTTAAAAGAATTTAAATGACCTCTACCATCTTGCATACATAGCCATTTATATATCCGTATGTGTGCATGCGTGTGTGTATAGTACTTGAGGTTTTTGTTATATGTTTTTTTTTTCTTTCAGATGTTGGTTAGTTATATTTCTATTAATTGTCAAGTTAATGACTTCTTACATTTCATGTTTGGTGGTTTTCCTTTTATCTGGAATTCTCTTCAGCCTGAGAAAACCAGCTCTTGTTTCTCCCTGGCTTACACCTTCTTCCTACACGAGGGTGCACCTGTTTAGGGCTCATGCTTACTTACCTGCATGACCTCCAAGGTTAGCCACTGTTTCACCTGGCTCCGAAGAGCCATTGTGTGATTTGACACTTAATAACTGTCCAGGTAAATATCAATAAATATCTACCTTCAACTCTGGAACATTGGAATCATTAAATTCAAAGTTTCTAACTCTTAAAACTTTGAAACTGAAACAGGTATCTCCTCTCAAGACCCCCAAAATGGGAAGTTTTATAATAAATTTTAAATGCCGAGAGGTAGATGATGTATGATTTACCCCCAAATGTGCTCAATTTTAGTCAGTTGACACTTTTAGAATATCGACATCATTACTAAGAATAAATTTGCATTTTCTTATGCCTACTGAAATAGTGACACACAAAAAAAGGCATAATTTCTGTTAAGGGCTGTCAAAATGGGTATTTTAGAGATTTTGGCTATTCAGTCAAAAAAAAAAAATTATTGAGCACTCACCAGGTACTGGAATGGGTTCTGAGGTGTTTCCAGGCAGAAGGAATTGTAAGTCGTGGAAGTGGGAAGGATAATGTTTACATAAGGGTAAACAGTCTAATGCAGTGGTTTTCAAACTGGAGAGTGCACTAGAATCACTTGGAGTGCTTGCAAATTACAAGGCTCTGTTCTTAAAATTTCTGATTCAGTAGGTCTGGGGCAGGGCCTGAAAATTTGCATTTTAATGAGTTCCCAGTGATGCTGCTGCCGCTGGTCCTGGGACCAGGCTTTGAGAACCACTGGAACAATTTGGCTGCTAAAGTGTAAGTAGAGAGTAGCAGGATGTAAAACTGGAAAACTGGATTGAGTTTATATCATGCAGTACCCTAAATGTCAGAGTTTAGTAGTTTATTTAATTAACATTTTTGAGTGCCTGTCAGGTACCCCAGATAGCCCATCTAATAGTGATTCATAGAGCCTTGAAATCTAGTGAGTAGAATTTGAAGAAATACATTGAATCTTGTAGTTTTATATTTAAGGAATGGAAATACGTAATCCCTATTGTTTCTGTAATATACGAGGTTGGACAATTAAGTTCACGAACTCATCCTAGAAAAAGTGCCACATACCTCATTGCTGAATATCACTACAGTCACCTTTGAAGTACTTCCCTTGGAAGCTATGCACCGATGCCAGTGCCTCGTCCACGCTTCAAAGCAATGTTGGAACTCTTTTTGGAATGGCTATCAGAGCTGTTGTCGAATTACCCTTGATGTCCTGAATGTCATCAAGATGTCTTCCTTTCAGTATTTCCTTTATCTTCAGGTAAAGAAGGAAGTCATTGGGGGCCACATCAGGTGAGTAGGGAGGGTGTTCCAATACAGTTATTTGTTTACTGACTACAAACTCTCTCACAGACGGTGCCATGTGAGCTGGTGCATTGTCTTGATGCAAGAGCCATGAATTAATTGTTGGTGAAAAGTTCAGGTCGTCATTTTCATGCAACCTTTTCAGCACTTCCAAATAGTCAACTTGGTTAACTGTTTGTTCAGTTGGTACAAATTCACAATGAATAATCCCTCTGTTATCAGAAAAGGTTAGCAACAGCCTTGCAACAAGTTTGCGAACTTAATTGTCAGACCTCATAAAGTACAGATGGAATATGAGAATTTTACATGAATCAAAATGGGGGATATGGGGCTGGCCAAGTGGCACATTGGTTAAGAGTTGGCTTGGGACGCCAGCTGTGAGCAGCAGGGCCCCGGTTCGGATCCCACATGAGGGCCAGTGACGCCACACCCTCTTCTACAGCTAAGATGGTGAACAACAGCTCGACCTGGAGCTGGGCTGCCGTGAGTCACCTGTGATGGCATACACTGCAGTGGGTTGCCATAAGCTACTGTGAGTGGCCGGCAATCGGCGTGAGTGGCCTTCCAGTGGCCAGCGACGGATCTGCCTCACCCGGGAAGAGCGCAATGATAATACCAACATGGGCCAGTGAAGTGACGTCCTCCACAACTAGGCTGAAGAACAAAAGGGCAGCAACTTGTCTGTTCCCCTCCCCCAGTTCCCCAATTTAAGAAAAAACGCGGGCAGGGGGATATGGGTTAAATATTGAGAAGCACTGTGCTAGGAGCATCATAATTCTTTTGAAGGTTTTCGAGAAGGGGAGTGATTTATTCCAAGATGTGTTTAGGCTTGATTGCTAGTAGCAGTACAGAGGCGGGAGGAGACCATCCTCGTTTCTGTAATGAAGGCCTTAGCCTTTATGCAAGGAATGGACGTAGAAAGGAAGAGATGAGTGATTCTAGAGCTGTAATCTTTAGGACTTAGCTATTGACTGATAGGGACCTGGGAAAGAAGGAAGGTTCAGAATGAACAGAAAGTTTCAAACATGGATGACCTGGACATTGCCATGGCGATAGTCATAGAAATAAGAAACTTCATACAATGATATATTGAGGAAAGGTGATGAATTTGGTTGAGCATTTAGAGTTTCAAGTGCCAGCTGGATGGCTAAGTTAAGGAGACAGATGGAAATTGGTCATGGGTTCAGGGGGTAGATTGGGACTATGGTATATATTTAAGAATCATTTGTCTCAAAGTGGTAAAACTTAAAACTGGATGGGCTCACCAAGGGAGACAATAGCCTTGGCTGATTAGTTTTGTGTGTTTATTTAAAACATTTATTTGCTTTATTGCTTAAGTATTTAAAGTGATTAGATATTTTTTGAAGACATTCTGTCTTTTTAATTTTTTTTTTGCTCACTGCCTTGATGTGTCTTCGGAGATGAGAAAAGGGGTGTGATAAAATAAGGAGAGTGAAAAGGAAAAAGAGGATTCATTGATACATTTATTAATTCAACAAACATTTGTTGGAGGTCTGTAGTGAGCCAAGCATCAGGCTAGAGGCTAGGTCCTGGGGATACAGTAGTGAGTGAAACAGGCATTGTCCCTGCTTCACTGAGCTTATTATTTGATGGGGAGACATACCTGTTTTGAAAAGGACATCAATAAATCATAAAATGAATATATAATTAAACTGGATGCTTTAAAGGAAAAGTAAAGAATGTCTTAGAAAGGAAAGACCTCCTCAAGCAAGTGACGTTTTGCTCTGAAGCTCTGAAGAATTTTAAAACTAGGGAAAAGAGCAGTGGGTAGGTTTAAA